AAAAAAAAAAAAACCGGGTTTATGAAAACAGTAGAAGCGGACTGCTGGACGCAACAACGAATATTCTACGTTTTTTTTTCGTTTCTTTTTCCTTTTATGTCTTGTCGGTTGTTCGACTTCATTCTGTCCCTTCAGCTCTCTTCTTTTTTGTTTGTTTGTTGCTGCTATTTTTGGTCCCCACCCCACTTGAGGGAATGCGCGAGTGTGGGTCTTTCGCTGTTGCCTCTCACTCCCTCCTCCCCGACTCTGGGGCGGCTCAGGCTTGTTTGCCGCAGCCGTCTCCTTGACTCCCCCGTCTCATGTCTTTTGGACCTCGTCTCGTCTCGTGCGCGGCTGCAACCGGAGAGAAGATGAAAGAACAAAAAAAAAGAGAGAGAGACGGAACCAACCACAACAAAAAAAAAGAAAAAAGTGAAGGCTCAAAGAATGATGTCAACAAACGTTATGGCAGGTCATCGCCTTTATTTAGCTCTCCGACACGCATAAGCGCGCGCGCACACACACACACACGGCGGCAGAGACATTTTGCAGTGCCATGCACACATACATGTAAAGGGGAAGGAAACGAAAATAAACAAAACGAATTCGGTTTTGGTTTTGTTTGGGTGTTTTCTTTTCGGTGATGCCTGAACTCATGCATTCTTTCATCACTGTCGTATTTTTTGTTGTTGTTGTTGTTGTTGTTGTTTCTTTTTTTTTTTTTTTTTTTTTTTTTTTTTCTTTTTTTTTTTTGGGAGTGGAGGAAAAAGAGAAGGGAAAAGGAAAGGGAAAAAGAAAGCGACTTTTCTTTGGCTCTCACAGCATCCCTTTTGTCCATCATATACCATGTTATATATTTATATATTTATATATGACTTCCTTTGGCCATGCATGGATCTGTTACCAGGGAAGTGTAACTTCCTGTCCCACTCCCCTGGTGGTTTTGTTTTTCTTGTTGTTGTTAATTTTATTTTTCGTGTTCTTTCCTTCGGTTTCCGCTTCGTTACATATGAGCAGCAGCGGGGATTCCCTCCACCTCCACCTCCTCCTCTTTTCCAGTCATACCGCTGGTGGCAGCAAGCAGAACACTTGCCTTTAAAAACACACACAAAATAACCAGAGAGAGTGAGGTGGCCAAATGTATATAACTATGTATCTTTATACGGTTGTGTACGTAGTATATGGTTTTATCAGCTTCCCATTGGATGCCTCTTTCCAAGCCGTTTTTTTTTCCCCCTTTTTTATCTACACTTGTGTCTCGTGATTCTGATGACGTTGTCCGCTCCATTACTCCCATCCACCCAACTACGCCGTGGCCCTCGTGGACTTCTCTTCGCCCACTTTAGGAGGCATCCAACGCAGATGCCTTGAGAAGGCTTTCTGCAAAAATGGATGCTTCAACAATTCATCGGCGCTCCACCGTTCCTCTGGCTTCATTCGAAGGCAGCTGCTAAGAAAGTCGCGATAGAGACCGAAGCATGTATACTCCTCCCGTGTTTCCTCGCGTCCCGCAAACTGCTCAACTTCCTCCTCCGTCGGCAGGCCATGGGGCGGTCCATTCACTTTCCCAATACGGTAAAGAAATATATACGGGTTGAGATCACCCGCGATATTCCAAATAGGGCGCTGCAACAGCTCAATACCCACACAACCCAATGCCCATATGTCACCTGCTGTTGCTGGGGGTGCCCCGTGAATAATCTCTGGTGCCATCCATAGGGGTGAGCCCTGCATTTCCTCCCGTCCCTCAACTTCATGAAGAGTACCACTACATCCAAAGTCCGCCAGTTTGCAGCGGCCCTTCTTCGTGATCAGAATATTTTCACCCTTTATATCCCGATGCACAATGGCCATATTATGCAAGTATTGAAGACCACGTAAGATTTGAATCATGTACTTTTGTATCACCACAAGTGGCAGGCTACCAAATTTCTTCACCATGGTGGAAATATTGCCGCATTCCACGTACTCAGTAAACACACGCAATTCACGCTCCCGCTCAAGATATGTACTTCCAAGAAAACGTATGATATTGTTGTGTCGAGCCGCACGCAAAACGTCAAGTTCCTTCCGCATTGAATGAAGAAAGTCCTCATCCACATTCTCATTGACCTTCACAATTTTCACCGCAACAACAGTGGAGTGGCCAGGCAATAGGCCCAAGTACACGGCGCCAAAAGTACCGCGGCCAATCAAATTCCCCAGCTGCACCTTTTCCAAATCTTCCTTTATAATGGCATCTATCGCCCCACGACGGGCAACGGATGAAGTGGTGGACAAGCAACTCGACGTGCTCATTTGACGGCCCAGAAAATTCTTAGAGGACATCGCACGAAGCTGCTCCAAAGCATCCTTATTAAGTTGTGTAAATAGCGTCACTGTATTCCGGCGCCCTATTTTGGTTGCATTATGCGCAACACTCTCTCCACACAGTGAACCACTCACATGAATCGTTCCAGCCGAAGACGCATTTTGATTTAAGTACGGTTCCAGTCGTAGAAGCCTCACCATTTTAGGGTGTCGAACCAAAAAATGATTTTGTACCACTGCGTCCAGAAAAGTCTGACATTCTGCCCGACGCTCCGCAACGTAACTCTCTGGGACATAACGTACACTCGGTATGCGAAGAACTGAAATTTGCGGGAGTGTATGCATCAGAGACTTCAGTTCCTGAAACAGAGGCACCAAATCCGAAAAGTAACGGCACCTGACGGAGTAAAACTCTTCCCTACTATCACGATCACGCAAACAAAGAATAAAAGCAATTTTTCTTGCCTCTACTCTATCGGCGGAAGCCGAACCTCGTCGACGTCCAGATGTTCGTTGCGATGTACCCTCGCCTCCTTCTGTGGCCAAGCCAGAATTTTGATCCAGACAAACCCGAGACGTCATTAAAGAAGCGGCATTCTCCTCCTGACGCTGATTCGATGAAGAAAAGTGTCGTGTGACAGTAAAATTACTCCCTGGAACAGAAGGAACAGGAACAGCAGTTTGGTTCACTGTACTTGTAGAAAAAGATGAAGAAAAACATTGTGTTGCTGGGCTCAGAAGCGATTCATCCGGTGATGCATACTGTGGTTCTTCCACTTTAATATATAACCGATCAATATTCACGTGTAAAGTCGCTAAACCCGACGCGTTATCCAGGGAAGGCCGACGCTGTGACGTCACCTCTGCAGGCAACTCTTTTTCCTGCGATGATGCACCCACCCTGGATGATCCCCGTTCCAAGGACGAGAGAGACGATGAGGAAGAGGAAGAGGAAGAGAGGGAAAAGGTCCGCAAAGTATCACATGTTGTTATTTCACACCTTCCAAAGTTTCTAGACGTGGGATCTACATGAGAAGTTGGGGGCTGCTGCACTTGTAACCCTTGTTCTTGTTTTTGACCTTGTATTCTTTGCGCTTTTGTTTTGCTGTTTCCTGGTGTCGATGTTAAACTCGACCCCTTCCGCGCAGGACATCCCCTAGGGACGTCACCACCATTCTTTGACGATGCAGAAGCATGCATGGCCGGGGACCTTGTCCCATCCGTCGAAGATTGTACAGAATTGGGAGGAGGTGCACTAGCTGGTTGAGCCGCAGAACTTTGTGTGGTCTTCGTCTTTACCGCCTCCTTACGCGCCATTGAAGATGTAGTACGAAAACTTTGCGATGATGTAGAAACCTTCAGCTTTCCATCATTACTACCGGTATGCAAAGGAGCGGCGCTCCTTTGCAATTCATATGTTTCATCATTGGCCATGGTATCTGAGGATGCATCCGCTAAAATTATAAAATCATCCGCACGGGGTGTCTTGGGTGGTACGTAACAAGAATCGGACTGTAGTAATGGGGGCAACGCTATTGGCCCCACTGCGTTTGCATACTTCTCATCACTCCCTGCTCCATTTCCTTCAGCACTAGAAGATTCAGCAGCGTATGACGCATCCACCACGACCGTCTCGCGAGCCTTAACCCGTTTCTCTCTTGAACTGGGCCCCTCGCATTCTTTTTTCGCAGGAGAAGGAAGAGGAATAGGGGCTGCAGCAGGGTCAAGTTTCCCCACATGCAAAGTTGTTACCTTTTGTTCGCCGTCTCCCTTTGTCTCTTGCACCTCCGTGACGCCGCTTTCCCCTACTTCTTCCGTCGACGGCGGGCCTGGCTTCTTGACTTTGGCTCGCGGCGGTACAGCAGGCGCCTTACGACGTGGTGCACTTGCCGCCGCGGAAGCGAGGAGTGAATTATTCGTGGCGCTCACGTAACTATCTTCATTCGTCCCCAGTGTTGAGGAATCGGTGGGGTTGCTGACAAGACACATTGCATCCTTCACACTAATCCCAGCAGCAGCAGCTTGATAGCATGCTGTATTCGAAATATAGTCCATAATGTGTGGTTGTCGAGAGGGACTGGACGTGGCCTTTGCCCCCTCCACCCGTGGTGTCAAAGGCCTCCCGCGCGGTGGATGAGGCAAAGAAGACATTGGCACATCAAAACTGCTGCCATTATTCCTAAATTGTTCAGGCGGTACCGAGTCCGCCTCCTCACTGTCCATCGCACTAAAGTTTGTCCAATGAAAAGGCTCCCCTAACCCACTTACCACGGAAGATGTACTGCCCATCCGGGCCCGCGTGGTCGCCTGTGAGAGCAACTCGTTCGCCTGACGTTGCTGCAGTCGTGACCACGACTTTTTTGCCGTCTTCCCCACACAGCCGCTGCACTTGAGACCAGATTTGCGCAGTACAAAATCGGAGCCAAAATGGCCGCAAACCACGCAGAAGGTACGCGCCTCAAGCACCATGGACTCGGATACGGAGGGTCCAACCAACGAGTTGGTCTCCACGTGCGAGTTTGCCGAATCCATCCTGCCAAGCGGTGAGTATCTGCGTATCTAGAAACAGTCGTGCCGTGCCAACAGAATGCAATCCGCCAGTCGTCCGTGGGAAATAAAAGCGCCCAAAAATAAAATAGAAAAAAAAGGGCCGCGGATCCTCGGAACTCCTGACAATAACGACGGGGACGGACACACGCAAGAGAAAAAAAAAAAAGAAAGAAAAAAAAAAGAAATTCCCCTAAAACTATACAAACCACAAAAAAAAAAAAAAAAAAAAAAATCGAATTTTCAAAAATAAACCTAAAAATTGGAATCACGGATTCCCTAATAGACCCACCACCACCCAAAAAAAAAAAAAAAAAAAAAGGCAAGAGTGAGGGAGAAAGTGAACCAAATAAATGTGAGACGGCAAATGCAATCATGACATCCAAGTCAGCAGGGAGTTGTCATGGCACCCCGTAGCAGCAGCAAAGAGCATGGAAGGGAGTAAAGAGACACCATCACATCACTGCAGGTTCATTAACACAGATATATATATATACGGGTAGATGGATATAACGACCACTAGAAAGTTGCATGGCGGGGAGTGCAGATATCGACAGAAGACATCACCTTTCCGCACCCTAAGAAAGTTGCCGCATAAAAAAGAAAAAAGGCAAAATAAATACAGAAAAGCGACAAGCGAAAAAGAAAAAGAAAAAAAAGAAATTTTTATGGCGGTATTAAAATAATGACGTGGGAGCAAAAAGAAAAAAAAAAGGAAAAGGAAAAGAAGGAAGGATGGGAAAAAGACGGAGGAGTCCAGATGATTACTATCAAATATCCATCTTTGCCTCCTCTCCAATTTCCCACATAAATACACACAAGCACCGCCCCCAGACTCCCCTGATCATTATTCCCCTCTCTCTCTTCCTCTCCCTCTCCCTTCCCGCATAAATCTCTCATGATGTACACAGCGCCATACACACAGACAAACACACACACAGACAGAAAGGACAAAGGGAAAAAAAGAGCTGTCAAAGAGAAAGGAGATAATAAATAAAAAAGAAAAAAAGGGAGGGACTAAGAAAAAGCTCATAAAACGTCACACGAATAAAAAGAAAAGCAATGATGCAAGAGAGAAATCAAAGCACATGAAATAAGAAATACACAGCAAAGGGGGCAGGGGAAAAATAAAAAAAAAAAGAGAAACGTCCACGTAAGCAAAGAAACCACGCAAAAATATTTGGTGTAGACAGAAAGGAAGAAAAAAGTGTTGAATTTTCATTCAATCGTTATTTCCTCGTTGTTGCTTTTTTTTTTTTTTTTTTTTTTTTTTGTTGTTGTTGTTGTTTTTGCCTTTGACTGCACTGACATTCTTTTTTTTTTTTGTTCGTTCCACCCCATTCCTTGTCCCCTTTTTTTCTCTTTTCCCGCGCCATGCTCCAGTTACCCTGAGGTGTACATGCAGAGTACTTCTGTAACCAACACTGTGTGTGTGTGTGGTGGTGGTGGTGGTGGGGAGGGTGGTTCCCCATTGCAGGTCTTCCAAAGCCAATATATGTACATATGCTTCTCTCCCTCTTCCTCATTCTCCGTAAAGCGGCCGCAGCATCAAATCCCTCTTTTCCATCTTGACGTTTTTGTTGTTGTTTCTTTCATGGTCCTTAAAGATTTATTTTTTCTTTTTTTCTTTTAAATCCACACACACCGCCAAATTCTCTTTATTCCTTCACTCCTGCATGGTGGGTTTGTGCCTACAGTACCCAACAGTATTTCCTCCCTCCGTCTCACTCTTTTTACTCATGCCCTCCTCGTTGTTTTTTTTTCCCCCCTTTTTTTTTTCTCATCTCCATCTTCATCCTCCTGTCCCTTCTCATTCATTCCCGCCGCTTTTTTCTTTTTTTTTTTTACTTGCGGGTGTTTTTGTAAATCACGTGGAGGCTGCAGGAGTTATTTCCCTTCCCCGCTCTTCTTCTTCTGCTGCGGCTTCTGCCGGTGTGTGTGTGTGTTGTCCCATCACGCTGCACCACCCCCCAAACGTAAAAACAAAAGCAAACACACAGAGCCTTTTTCTCCTTTTCTTTTTATTCTTTTTTATTCTTCTTATTTTCTACTTGTGTGTGTGTGTGTTTGTTTTGTTCTTTCTTTTTGTTTTACTTTTCATTTTTGTTTTTGTTTTTGTTTTTGTTTTTTTTGCTTTGCTTTTTTATTTCGCTCATCAACAATTTTTTTTTCTTTTTTTTTTTGTTTTTTTTTTTTTTTGGTTTTCTTTTTTGGTTTTCTTTTCAGCAGCACCTGCCGCTGCTGCTGCGGCCGCTGCCGCTCCCGGTGTTTCTGTTGCTGCCGGAGAGGAGGGGTTTGCTGTTCGCCGCACCGCCAGCCCCACCGCCCTGCGCAGCCAGCCGCTTCTTAATGTCCATCGCCATCCTCGTGAAGGCCTCCTCGACATTCGATGCCTCCTTCGCGCTGGTCTCGAGGAACGGAATGCCAAGATTGTCAGCGAAGTCTTTCGCCATCTGCGTGTCAACGGCCTTCTTGAGGACGAGGTCGCACTTGTTCCCAACAAGCAGCTTGTTCACATTCTCGCTTGCAAACTTGTCAATCTCAGAGAGCCACGTCTTGACGTTGTTAAAACTTTCCATGTCTGTTGTATCGTACACGATGATGATGCCATGGGCGCCGCGGTAATAACTACTTGTGATGGTGCGGAAGCGCTCCTGCCCGGCGGTGTCCCAAATCTGCAGCTTCACCACCTTACCGTCGAGGTTGAGAGTGCGGATTTTAAAATCGACACCAATCGTACTGATGTAACTCTCCGTGTAGCTGTCGTCGGCGAAGCGAAGGAGGAGGCACGACTTGCCCACACCGCTGTCGCCAATAAGAAGAAGCTTAAAGAGGTGATCGTATTCTGCAGACATTTCCTTCGTTCCTGTTTTGCTCGTTTTTTTTTTATTTTACCGTTCAGCCCTCTTCTGCCTCTTTTGTTGTTGTTGTTTTGTTTTGCTTTTCTTCTGTCTTGTTTCTGTTTTTTTTTTTCTTTTTTTTTTCCTTTTATTTATTTTTCTTTTCTTTTTTTCGTGTCTGGGTGTATATTTCAGTTTACGTGGAAATATATAAATAAATAAATAATGCGCTCGCGAATGAAAGAACCCGCCTTTTCACGATTCCTATCACTTTTATTATTATTATTATTTGTTTTAGCCAACGAGAGAGAGAAAGAAAGAAATAAAGAGAAGACGTTTACAGAAAGGAGGCACGTCGCCACCACCAGCCACCAGCCACCAGCCACCAGCCACCGGTTACCCCCACGCTCCCTGCAAGTTCCCGTTAAAATGAAGTCGCTCGCCTCTCATTCTTTTCTCCCCCTCACCCCCTCTTCCTCTTCCCTCAGCAGCGCATTGTTGCACGACCCCACCCGCTGTACTCCCCTCGCGACGATGCAGACACCCAAAGCCATGCACGTGGCAAGAGAGAGAGAGAGGGCGTGGCATTGTGTCTGGCACACGTCCATGCCCGTGTCAAAAACCTGCCGACGGTCCACAGCATCCAGAAAAAAAAAAAAGAAAAAAAACGCCGCAAAAAGAAAGAAAAATAAATTTAAAACATTTTTTTTTTGGCAAAAGCCACCGCATGGAATCTTTCTTCACACCTCCAAATGGAAAAGGAAGACATGCACTTACGAAGAGGCCATAATAACGGGAAACAGACAAAAAAGAGCAATCCAAATGTAATTCTCGCCACTCCCACATCTACCTCACACACGCATACGCATAAACATACGCCATTTTCTGCTCATTTAAATTCATTCACTAACCAGTGGCTAATATCAATGCTCACTTGCCTAATAAGTACGAGCGATAAAGATAAAAGAGAGAAAAAAAAATTTTCGTGAAGCCCCATGCAAAATGGGTAAAACAATGAATCATAATAATAATAACAAAAAAAAAGAAAAACAAAAAACACGCATCCATTTCTCTCTCCCTCCCTCCCTCTCTCTATTTCTCTCTCTCTATATATATGTATATATAAACATATATATAGATATAGATATATATATATGTTACTACACTTATATAGAGGGGGAATGGCAAATATATTTTACCTGCTTCTTTCTGCAGATAGTACCAGAGTCACGGCAGAGTCCATCTTCCTTTTTTTTTTAATCGGACTCTGCAGCAGTAGTACCACCCACAGTATTGGTAGAAGCAGCAGAAGCAGTAAGATGAAGCAACAACAACCAAGAAAAAAAAAGGGGAAAAAAAGGAATACAGAAAAGCAAATCAAACCACAATCCTTGCCGTGTAATCAATCAATTATTTCCCCACACCACCCTCCCACACCCCATTTTTGTCACCCTTAGTTTTCTTGGAAGAGAAGTGGTCTCCCCCCTCAACCGTTACTTCTGTGGATAAAAAATATGGATGTAAATTGGCTCATGTGGTAATGATCGAATAACCCCACAAGTAACAACGTCGAGGTATCCATAATTAACGGAACACTTCTTGGATGTTGTTGTTGTTGTTGCCAATTTGCTCTCATCGCCACACACACAGAGTGGAAGCTTCCTCTATCTCCCTCTCTCTCTCCCTCTCTCTCTCTCCCTCTCTCTCTCCCTCTCTCTCTCTCATTCCTCTTTCACTGCACATCCAAAATTTCCGCAGGGAACTCCCTCCTTTATGGCGAACCATTCGACGCTGCGGGTCCACCTAAAAAAAAAAAAAAAAAAAAGAAGCAATCAATCATCATTTCCAGACACGTTTAATGGTTTCAAGCCTGCAAGCATTTATATATATATATATGTGTATGTCCTCCTCTGCCATCATCACTGATGTCATGCACTGAGAAATGAGAGTCAAACGCGGAGAGGTAGCTTACTTACCTCGCACCCCACCCTCCTGACACTCCACCGTGTGCCCCCCTTCTGCACTTTATCCATCCTCCTGCCAGGCGTACCACCGGCCCTTTTATACCACGCCTTAACATATGTGTCTGTTACTTTTAGTTATATTTCTCTTTTTTGTTTTCTTTTTTCTTTTTTTTTTTTTTTTCTTTTTTTTTTCTTTTGCTGCTTTCGTCCCTTCTCTCCAACTTCGTCAATGCCTTTATTTTTTTTTTTTTTCTTTTTTTTTTTTTTTTCGGCTGGAAAAGACTTTAATTTATCATGTATCCCGCCACAAGTTCTCCTGTCCTTCCGTTTGACTTTTGCACCGGCTCTCTTATTTTTAATTTTATTTTTTATTTTATTTCTCAATTTTTTTTTTTTTTCTTTTGAGGGGAGTTTTTGTCCACCAAATTAGTTGCTCTCCCCTCCTTCCCTCCTAATGGCCTCATCAAGAAGACTCCCTTCCACCACAACTCCATCCGCGTCAAAGCAGAATACATACGCGTGTATACATGCATGCATGCACATGTATATATTTATATGCATACACGGGTACGCCTTCACGGCATTAGGTTTTGTGGAAGATACTTTTGCCTCAGTACCAATAAGCAAGAAAGGGAAAAGAAAAAAAAAAAAAAAAAAAATACATGTAAATGGAAGAGTTAACTCACACAGGAGAAAGTCCATTTGAGCCTGAGAAGAAATCTCCTCAGTTTCTTTTTTTTTTTGTTTTTGTTGTTGCTGTTGGTTTTTGTTTTCTTTGATCCTCTCTAACGCACAGCCGTTTTTCTTTCTTTCCCATTGGCCTACCTGTGCCTTGTGGAGTGGTTTTTCATGTCTTTTTTTGTTGTTGTTGTTTTTCTTCTTCTTGTTGTTGTTTTTGGTTAATCTGTTAAAATTCACCCCACACATACACACACACACACACACACACCATCGTGCCGCTGTCAAGTCCTCTTAAATCTTCACATGTCTGTTCTTCATCGCCTGCCATTTTATCCCCTTTTTTTTTCTTTTGTGTGTGTGTGCGTGTTTACCGTTTAATCACGACGCCTGCGATAAGATGGACTGCTCGATCGCGATCGACTACTATAACTGCGGCTGCGCTCCCGGCGTCGTTTGTCCCGTCTGTCCCGTCGATGGTATTCACGGCTGTCATCGGAGTCCACACTGCTTCTGCGGCTGGAGCTAGAGCGACTGCTGTAACTGTAACTTCTGCGTCGACGATAGCGGCGGCGATCGAGGCTATCACTCCTACGACTACGTTGCCGACGACGACGACGGACCGGGCTGCGGCTACGCTTCTCCATACGGCCACCAAAGCGAGAGCTCTTGTTATCACGACTGTACTGAACAGAAAGACGGCAATCACCAATGTACTGATTATTAAGTTCATGAATCATTCTCGATGCGTGCGCCATATCCGCCACGTCGATAAACGCGCATTGCCCGCGTCGCCGAAATCCGGTAACCGGTGCAATCTCCTCCAGTTTGCTGCGAAGCTCTCTGTCGGAGATGGCACCGCCGGCTGGACCCAAACCGACAAAAAGCGACGTCCTCCCAGAGTTATTCAAATTGTTGTTATGATTTTGATTACCGGGGGGACGCTGCTTATCTTTATTGCGGCTGATCTGCACCGCCATGCGTGCATCACCAATAAGTTTACCGTCCAACTCCGCCACAAGTCTTTCCGCAGTCTCCGGGTCAGGCACATCCGCAAAGGCGCAACGACCACGGATGCGCACGCCAAGCACAGGCGCCACCTCTTCAAGGCGCTGACGTAGTGCATCGTCGGAAATGCTGGAGGCCGCAGGGCCGAGTCCAATAAAAACGGACGTTGTTTTCATCGTAGCGGTGCTAGCAGTGTTGTTGTTATTATTGTTATTGTTCTTCTCATGGCTGTTGGTGCGGGGTGGCTCCTCGACGCTGTCACCACTTCTGGACTCAGACATCCCTGTTTCTGATGTGCGTACGTCGTTGTTCACTTCCCCAAAAAAATGAGTATCTTACACAAAGAACGACGCATCCAAAACCGACCGTACACGTTTCGAGCCAAGCAACGCCGCCACACACACACACAAACGGCAAGAAAAGAAAAGAAAAGACAAGAGAGTTACGGTAAACAGAAGTCACCATCCATGCACACAAGAGCGCCAACAGACAACAGAAAAAAAAAATTAAAACAAAAAAAAAAAAAAAGGAAAGAAAGAAAGAAGGAGAAGTTGCATCGCCCCACACCAAAATGGAAAACCAATAAGAAGAAGAAATCATTAACAAAATATATATTTATATATTTATATATATATTTACATTTATAATATATAAATATACTTTTTTTTTTTTTTTTTCTTTTGCTCCAGCGGTAACAAAAATAGAGTGAAATTTCCCTCCCACACACAACAACAAAAAAATAAAAATAAAAATTGGACTGGGGGGAATTACGGTTGGGGAATAGAGATGGAAAGGAGAGTGTGAAATACATGAAGGAAACAAGTGAAATTTAATAACGCACACGCAATACAAAACACACACACAATAAAAAACAAAACGGTGTGCACCCACGTAACATCCGCGGATGACTATTTATCGTTCTCTTCAACTTAATTATGACACTCCTCCTTTCCTCCCAATCCTCCCCCGCTGGTCCATTGCGCCCCGAGGCGTCCGGTGGACGCATACAAACAAAAACAAAAACAATAAATAAATAAATAAAAAAGAAAAAAAGAAAGAAGGCAGGGAGGTGGAGGGATGCGCCTTGACGCCTGCAGGAAGACAGCCACGAGGAGAAGAAATGAAAGAAAAAAAAAAAAAAAGAAAAAAAGTAGGCGCCGCCCTTCTCCCCCTTGTGGATCGCAGCCCACATGCCTCCTCCCCTCCTCCCCGCCTCCCCCGCACGCCCGTCCGGCAGAAACAAACATGAAAAAAACCACAAAAAAAAAAAATACTTACAACCCCGCGGAGCACACATTACAAGAAAAGAAACACAAAATAAAATAAAAGAAAAAATGATCGTACGATAAATATATTTACAAATATTTATAAATATTTATATTTAATACAAGCATTACTGAAAAACCAAAAAAAAAAAAGAAAAAAGAAAAGAAAAGAAAAAAAGAAAAAAGAAAGAGGACAACGGATACAACGCAATCGACACATTGTTACCGTTGATGGAATAGTAATTACATGCAAGCATATAATAATACTTTATAATTCATTCATTCATTCAGTAGTAGTAGTAGTACTTGTCTCTGTAATTTAAGAACACCAATACCGTTTTGAAATTAAAAAAGAAGAAAAAAAAAAAAAAAAAACAATCGGTATAAAAATTAATTGCAGCAATTGAGCAAACATACACACACAAAAAAAAAAAAAAAAAAAAACAAATATACATACATACATACATATAAATAAATAAATAAATATATATATATATATATATATATGGAGAAAAAACAAAAAAAACACAAAAAAAAAAAAAAAAACGAGATAGATGCAGCCCTCTGTAATTACATTATTATAAAGAACCGTCCCAGGCACCACAGAAATTCCTAATCAACAAAAACGAATACATACATGCATGTACATACGTGTATATATAGATATATAGATATATACATATACACATACATTTATATTACACCACTTGACTTTTATTAGTTATCCACTCTTGGTGTTGTGTTTAGATATGCGAATACTTTTCTTCTTTTCTTTTCTTTTCTTTTCATTCTTCATTGCCTTTTCTTTTTTTTTTTTTTTTTTTATTATTATTTTGAATAAATTCAGCCGTGGTGCCGCCCAGCACTCCCCCCTCCCCCCTCCCCCTCTACAAACACAAACAAACGCAATCGCTCTCATGGATGTTGGATCGCCTAAAATTGTTTTTTGGAGCCGCGCCACGAGGGGGGGGGGGG